CTTGGTACCGCCGTGTAATTCCATAATCTTTTAGCTCTTTCATGATATAAAATTGCTTTAGATAATAGTTTGGACTTCGGACTAATAAAGGTTGTCCAGTCAAACTTGCAAAATCACCGTTTGATTTTTGAGACATGTAGGACATGGCTTTGGTGCTCAGCAAAGTGCTCACTGTTTCAGAAAATAAAACTGGATTTGAGTAGTCCAAATTTAATTTGGACAGATTTAAACCTTTTAACATATATTTTATTTTATATTTATTAAAATACAAATTTTGTAATTTTTTAATAAATTTATTCATAATCATTATAGACAGTACAAATTTAATTTAGATGGTTTAATTTAATACTAAATTTTTTTATAAATTGACTATTTAGATATACTCAGGATAATTTAAATTAAAAATTTTTAACTTGTAATTTGTTCTAATTTTTTAAAATTGTCAATTAGGAGATTATATTTATTTTTAATATTATATATATTAAAATAAAATTTTATAAAAATTGTATAAAATTAATATTGAATCTGAACTGTCTAAATGAACCTTTGATTTTTTTTTTTTTTTAAACACATGACTTGTGTGGCTTGCATAAAGTCTGAAAAATGAACCATATGAGCAAAAAAGAGAAAAAATGAACCACGTTCATAAATTATGATTTATTTAGTTGTTATTTTTATTTTTTGTCCACAAAATTATTTTCTATATTTTCTTTTTTATTATATTTTATTACACCAACGGGTGTTTGGTTGTGGTTCATATTGCTGTGAAGTATAATATCTTCGCAATTAGTCGTGACTGGACATTCAAAAGACTTGAAATTTATAACATTTTTTATACTTTTAATTTTATTTAATGTCATGAAGTGTGGCTTTTCGCATGAAACAGTCATATGTTGAAATTTCTAAGGTTAAATTGAGCTTTATGTGTTCAATTAAAAAGAAAAAAAGAAAAGAGCTTCATGTGTTTTGAAAGATTGGATCCAAGACTCTCAACTCTTTCTTTTTTTTTTTAAATGAAGAAGCATGACAGTACGTAATTAATTTATGAAAGATTGATTCTCTGAACACAAAGCATGACCTTAACTAACTTTCACCTTTCCGGAGCTTATGAATTTTATTATTAATATTAATACTGCCACAATTCAAAAATATAAAACATTTTTTTAAAAATTAGATGTTAAAAAGATATAAAGTATCTTGGGTCTTTTAAAGTGAAATTGTTGATATTTTTTTCAAAAATATCTTTAATTAAGAGATATAATTAATAAAATTTTTTTCAATTGAGACACATAGGAGTAAATATATAAAAATATTGTGCAATTATAAAAACAATTAACTAACTCACTGAATGTAATTTAGTTAAAAGTGTTTTATAATATTGAAGGATTGAGTAATTTTATCATTTTTATAAATATTTTAATTCATAAAATTCAAAGTATTTTAATATTGTAATTATTAAAATGCACTCTAGTGGGTGCAATTCCATGACTGTTTTCACCCTTTCTACAGAGAAGAGTCAAATGTTGAAATCTCTAAAATTGAGTTCAGTCGCAGCAGGAGAGGAAAAAGAGAAATCTCTAAAATTAGATGGAGCTTTATATGTATGAAATTTTGAATTCAAAGTTTGGAACTTGAAAAAGGCAATAAGAGTTCGCAATTCATTTATTAAAGATTGATTCTAAATTATAATATTGTTTTGACCAAAAGAAGATTTATTCTAATCAAGTACAAAGCATAATATAAATTAACTTTCTCTTATCCCAATTACTTTGGCCATTTTTATCACTTTAGAAAGAGAGAATTTGTCTAATTGTCCGGCTGAATAATGTAATCTTCTAAGAAGTTTTTAATAGTTTTAATGATAATAAAAATTTTAATCATCGAGCATTTAATCATGCCAAGAGCTTGTAGCTGAAATATCTACTTAAAAGGAACCAATCCCTTAACTAGTTAATCCAAAAACCCGATGATTTTATTATCAATTTAATCTTTATTATATAAAGAGGATGTAAATATTAAATATTATTTAAATTTATTAACATGGATGATAGAATATTGATGACATGTTAACAACTACATAGATTAATGAAAAATAGTATTTGCCAACAAAAATAGTATAATTATTTAGGCATTGTAAGTTGTAACAATTATATATAAATATCTTTTAGTGCAAAAAAAAATATAAAAATAACAAACGTTACAAAATTTCATAATTAAAAATACGCAATCCGCTTGTAATTTCTTATTGGACATAATTTTATTACCGGACCCACTGACAGATCAACTCTACAGTTTGTCACATCAAAATTAACAAAGTATGATCATAATTGACGAATCATTGAAATTGTGAAAGCATAAATAAATGCTTTGAACACGCCAAATCAAATTTATAATCTTTGCTCAGTTTTGTCCCTGGGTCACAACAGAATCATTTCTCCATTAAGGGTCAGGGAAAAAAAAAGGGAAAATCTCTCTAAAGTCTCCCATAGAAATTGTAATTATCCTAAAGTCCCACTAATTACATAATTACACAAATGCTGCCCTTTCATGGTCATAGGTGCAAACTCTACAAGAGGTTCGTCCTCACCATGAAGAACGAGAAGAAACCATTTCTGATGGCTTATCCGAGCACGTTTCCAGCAGCCAAATGGCCTCTTTCTCCCAAGAACAAATGCAATCATTTTATCACCAAAAAAAAAAAAAAGCAATCAGTCATAGTTGCTGCAACAGTCGCTGTGGCGGCTGTAAAAACCAAAAACTGAAAAAGTTGGAGCAATGCTTTCCTATTTTTCCCCCTTCAAATCATGGGCTTTTTTGTCATTTCACAAAAGAATTTAATTACATTTAAGTCCTTGGGGGACCTACAAGGCATTGATGCAATCCGTCGGACTTTAGAATAATTACAGTTGTCATGGGAGATTTTGAAAAGATCCACACACCCCACCCCCCGCAAAAAAAAAAAAAAAAAAACAAGGAGCGACATGCTGAAAGTGATTGGGCTAAAACTGAAAACCGTGTTTTGTTGATTGAAAACCTCAACATACAAAAATTCTTTGGGCTTAATGAATTTAGCGCGAGAAATGGAGAATATTGTTATTAGAATACAACAATTGAAATAAAAGAACACACAAGCGCAAAACATTAACCCAAATACATAACCAATGGTTCAATACATTCTTCATTCTACCTCAAGTCGGACTCGAATATAATTAAGGTGCATAACTTGATTAACAAATTTTCATGACCACTCTTTCCTAAAGCCCTTGTTGAGATACCTACTTCCTGATCCTTGGATGGTACATGCTGTAAATGAATCAGCTTGTCTTGTTTTGATTCATAACACCATTAATGATGATGCCTTAACTTGATAAAACAAACAAATGATGTTCTTAAAGCTTAGTTGGGATCTGTTGCTTGTAGGTTTCAAATAGAGCAACATGCTAGGTTGAAATTGTAAAGCACCCAGTGGATCGGAGATTTTCATATGATAAAATAAAGTTAAGCAAAACGGAAATAGTATATAAAAAGAAACATCCTAAACACATAGCTGAGAAGGAGACCAACGTTCTCGCCAACGTCATTGGTGACGTTGAACAAGGCGAACCCATACTAACTAACAAATCTAAGAGAGTGAAAATAGATAAAAAAAGTCGTAAGGGTTTCTAGAAACTATATAAAACCACACAGCAACTCCAAGCCCCACCCATGACAATTAACTATCTCTTTTCATATGCGCCATTTCACTCTTAATCAAGCTCTGTAGGTGTGCTGCTCAACTTGGGGGGTGGGAGGGGGAGGCAATATTGTCATTTCATGAAAAACGTTAGTTCCAAAAAACGACCAAAGGACTTCAAAATAATTAGAGCATCTTGTAGTCCTTGACTGACGTATGCATATTTTAGTGGCATTTTACTGCCATTCTCCCAATTTTACACTCCTCCTTCTATTCTATATTATAAATTTTTAATAGAATTACACTTTTAATAAATTATTTAATTATCTTTAAAATTACACTGTTTTCATATTTATTCTTATTTAAGAGGTTGTTTCAATTAAAAAACTTTATTAATCATACCGCTTAATTAAGGATATTTTTAAAAAAATCTCATTTATTGCATATTGAAACCTAAAATACTTTATGTTTTCTAACATCTAATCTTAAAAAAATGATTTATATTTTTAAATAGAAGGAGTACTTTTTATTCAGAATTTTCAAAATAATTTGACTCTGAAAAAGAAACTGATTTCTAACTATTTTAATAAACTTTTTTGAATTGTTTTTGAAAAAAATTTAGAATAGGCGTCGGTCGTAATATAAAAAAAATTATGGCAGCTTAAGTACAATATTTCAGGTTTAAATTTGCAAGAGTATAAAAAAAATAATTTGACATAATAAATGAAAGAAAATGTCATGAAAATACATATACACACAAAAATGTCATAAAATTTTAAAATAACTAAATAATAAATCATTTTTATATGACCAGAAACTCATAAAGAAACCACAAAATCTGACAATCACTTCCTAACGATTACTTAATCAAATCATAAAATAAGTTTAATCTATCTTCTTGTGAAATATCTAAAAATGAAGTTTCTTTAAAAAATCTCTAAAATATCTAAAAATTATTTATTATTATTAAAACTTAAGCGGGACAGAAAAATAATGACACAGTATACAAGGTCAAACTAAATGTTGGTAAATACAATCAAAAAAATTTCTCCCTGAGCTAGCCGGGGTCAAATTTTAAGATAATTTTAACCAGTAAGTTCGGTTTGCCATGGTCAAAAGAAACTCAAGATAGGACTTGGAAATTTTTTTCATACTGATTAGTCACTCACCAACCATGATGTAGTCAATGAGAAATATTGAGTTCCAATGAAAGGATTGATAACCGTCATTAACGACGACGACGACAACTACAACAAAATGATTATTTCAAATTAATTTTAAATTACCCAAATCATTAAGCAAATAAGGTAATAGCTATAGGCGAGACTATCTCAAATTGATTCATAGTATTTCCACAAAGCCAAAACTGTAGAAGCTTCATCCAACAAAATGACGAGCGAAACAGAGCATACATGCACAATTCTTTAGTCCAAACTACCAAAATCCAACCACAGAAAATAGAACATTCAATCTGAATAGGATTTCCTATCTGGTTCAGAAATTGCATAACCAGAATAAGCAAAACTAATTCCAACACAAGCTTCAGCAATTTACTCGTCCTCCTGGCTACGCAGCCTGGCCAGTCTGTTGGTAACAACAACATCCAACTGAGCTGCACGCTCCACGATCTCCTTCCTCTTACGAGTTGACACGTTGTGCGCTATCTCCGCACAATAAGTCCTGAAATTTCATCATTTGCATATATATATATATATATATATATCAACAAAGGGCATGATGACAAGGGAATTTGAAAGTTTGACATGTAATCAGTGTTGTTAAAGGTGAAAGGCACACTTAAGGTGCAAGGCTTGTAAAATGCCTTAGGCACAAGGCACTAGAATGACGCACATCCAAGTGAAGCAAGGCACTATCATGTGAAAATGCATAATATATAGACAACAAATCATAGATAAAATGATAAGTGTAAACTTACTTAACCTTCACATAAATACTTTGAAAAATTTTATATGAAGAAAACAGATAGAAGTAGAAATCATTTTATACGTTGTGAATAAATACTCTGGGAAATTGCAACCAGGCACCACCAGGGGCTTGCCTTTTGCTCTAGAAAGACGCACAAAGGCAACCGCCTAAGTGAACCCATCGCCTCTCTTTCGCACGAGAGGTGACAAGGCTGTTCTGCACCTCACCTCAGCGCCTAAGGTGCAAACGTGAACACCTTTAACAACACTGCATGCAAAGGAAACTACTTACCTGTTGTGCATCATCAGGAGTTCCAGTTCCTTGACATTGTGCACAACAAATTTCTTGAAGCCATTGGGGAGATAGTGGCGGGTCTTCTTGTCTGAACCATAACCAATATTTGGCATCAATGTGCATCCTTTAAACTTTCTTCTCACACGGGAATCAATACCCTTTGGCCTTCGCCAGTTTGGCTGCATACCACAGTAAAGATAGACTATCAACCCAAGGAGCCAAGGTGCTTTAATAGGTTCGGCCAAACAAATGTTCAGTGACCAAACAAGGATTAATATGACAAGTAGGGTCTTGATAATTATCTTGTGACAGAATATATTGTAAAGCAAAGCACCAAAGAAGAATCAACCACAAGCTTGGCCTTAAGCATATGGACAAGGTCTCTAATCCCCAATATGATGTTATTAGCATGAACCCAAACTAAAACAAACAAGATTGTCACATCCGTACACTCTTCCTTACTCCTTTTTTCTAAAAGGAATTTGTTCTTTCAACGTTTCATTATACAATGACATGTTAATAGCTTTTGCTGAAGGTTGATACTTGATAGTATTTCAAAATATACACATATTCATAAGCTTAAAAAAAGAAATTGAAGAGGCTCAGACAGAGATGTAAAACTGAATGAATGACCAAGGAGAGTCCAAAAAATATACAATTGCAAGCTACAAAAGAAGAAAAAATACAAATAAGAAATCCTCTACAGCCAGTTGGAATAACATTAGTATGATCATATGATAAGCTAAACCAGAATTCCCATGCAGAAACACCATAAGAAAGAATTGAAAAATACCTAAACATACTTGGAAAAACCTCCTCCTTTCCACAAGATTTAGGACAAACAATACTTCAACTTTGATGTGTGGGAGAAAAATACCTAAATGTACATCCTAACTTTGCAAGCACTTGGAGTTGGAGATATATTTACAGATTACATCTTTGGGTATGAAAAATGATACATACCACACTCAATTGACAAGGGATTTCAAAATTTTAGAAGTCACCCACATACATCACAAAATAGGTTTCCAAATAATTAAGAGTATTAAGGTTCACACTTGCTGAATGTCCCTAAAAAGAATTCTAATTTCTAAATAAGAGTAATTCAAAGACTGAGGAAACTAATCCAGAAAGGCATACCTTGACAGAGATTTTCCTGTCACTTTGAGGCCTCTTGAACTTTTTGACACGCTTCTTGACAATCTTCTTGCTAAGCAAAGGTACTGCCATTTTGTCTCTGAAAGAAATTCAAAACTAAGCATCCGTTAGCATTACACACCATCATATAATAGAAAGCATTAAGTAATAAAAATGGAAAAAAGTACATAAGAATACAAAATCTCAATGCATTAACAATTTCCAGAAAAACTAACGATCCCTGAAGCACCTAGTGGGAAGTAAGCAAAGCCACAAGAAAGTTCAAAAATAGCGGTTAAATCAACAAAAATACAATTTTTTTTTATAGAATTAACAACAGACATGTGAATCGTACTCCAGCTTCGCCTGAGTCGGACGGAATAATATATTAATTGTGAGTATGAGATCAAAATAGCAACAGAATAGCCGAAATTAAATAGATGAACTTCCAGAAGCCAATAATGGATAGATATCATGCCGGAAAGTGCTTCGTAAACAGTTTCCGATGAAACAACAGCGTTGCTAGAACTAGCACTTCACATGTATACTCCAATTAACATGTATAGTTTCTCAAACACGCAAAGAAAAAGCTAAAGAAAAACACTGAGACAGAAGCTTCATACAAATAATCCCAGCACACAAATCATGAAATCGAATTACAGTAATTCAAGAAAGTTCAGAAGAGAGAGAGATCGTTACAGGCCTGCTTGCACCGCAGAGCCTCAGCCACGAACTTGGGAAGTGGCCAGGGGACGACGGGCGAGCGTGTTAGGGTTTCCAAATATATATGAATCGGCTTTTCGAAGATGAATGTTGTTGAAGCAAATAGAAATTCGGTTTGGGTTTCTTTGTTTCAGCCCATAAGAGTGTAACTTAGCCCAATGGCTAAAAGATTCAGCCCGAACAAAAAGGTCCACCTAGGGGAGTATTTATTTTATGGAAAAAATCAATTATTTAATTTTTATAATTTTAACTCAATTATAATTTAATTTTTAAATTTTAATTATTTAAAGCTCAATATTCAAAATTTTTTTTTAGTTGTAATCTAGTTAAAATTATAGAGATGAAATTATTAATTTTTTTTTTAACTATTACGTTATCAAACTAGATACTACTAATATTGAAGGTGGAAATGGATAAGGATAACAAGAATTCATTATCTTGTAATATTATCTATTAATATTTAACTATAATTGTTTTTATATATTGCATGGAGCCTAAGAAATGAGTAATCATTGAAATATTATTTATTCTATAGGACTTAAGTTGTTTTTTGAAAAGAAAAAAAACGTTTAATGACAAAATGTCTATGAGACAAATAATTTATCTTGTTTAATGTTTAGTAATCACACCAAGAGAATTTAATAGTAACTTATAAGAAATTTAATATTAATACAAAAATTTCATAGTCATATATAGTGAAATTTCTGAGTGCTAATCATTAAATCTCCTTTGTCTCAGTATTAAACTACTTTTAAAAGGATCATTCATAAATGAGATAAATTAGTTTGACGAGCATTTTTGTCATTACACATTTTATTTTTATAATCGAATTTTGGTCATGTTGAACAAATTCATAAATTTAATATCCTTAGCTGCAAATATCTTATCATTTTGATCCTTAAGCATGATTACCCTTATTTCAAATCAGAACACCTTTTTATAAATGAAATACATATAATGTGACTTTCTACACAAGTATGGCTATAGATGTTAGTTCTTTTATTAATTAGTTAATATTTGGTTAGTTATTATATATCTCTATAAATTTATCTGATTATATTTTATTTGTAAACTATATATATTTATTACTATATTTTGTTGTTACTATCATTGTTGATATTAGAATATTACAATCATTCATGGCTCAAGAATTTACGTCTGTTTATATGACTAAATGAATATGCCTCTTCGATATTTGTTCGACCAGAATTCATGCTATCTTTTCAAATAATTAAAACCTTAACATAACTTGTAAAACCACGACAATGCAAATATAATTTAAATTAAAAGTTTAAGCATATTCAAATTCAATAAAGCAAATGACGTAACCAGAGCAGGTTCCATAACTGCTTAAGTTTAGAATGATAAAATGGATTAAAAAGTTTAAAATAAAATTCACTACTAGCTTGAATTTGATTCTAAGACACCACTATACGTATGCATCTACCTATCTAGCTAGTATGAAAGAAGGTCTAGAAGTATTTGATAACTCAAATAATCAATTATGGCTCTGAAACTCGATTGTAGGAGAAGCTATTTGAAGTTTCACCTGATAATCAATTATTTTAAAATTTCATTTGATAATTAATTTTTCTGTAATTAATTTTGTACAACCGAAATCCAAACACACCCCGCATTATATGGCTCTTTGTTTAAATAAAAAAAATGACTTGGTGGTGACATTGTTGTAGAATATGGCTCCTCATTCAAACCAAACAAAATCTGGTTTGCTGAAGATATTTTTGGAAGATATTGTGGCTCCCTATTTAAATCTAAAGGAAGTTTATGCAGTCATATTTGCAAAACTTTGAATTTTTTTAATGATCTCAGGAGTCAAGGAAACTCACTGATCATTCTTAAGACTTTTTCGATTTATTTTCTAACAAAAGTAAAATTTAATATATTAATTAAATCAAAATCGAGGTGCCTAAAGGTTACGACTACTTTAATTAACAAGGGAATCCAAAATGAGAATAAAACCAATTGGTACGCAGCTTGCCTATTTCTCAGTAAGTATTTTCAGTCAAATCAAATGTCTCAATGTTAAATATTATCCTAATATGGAATGTACGGTGTCAATAACTCCCTTTTTTTCCTGTCACGGTGCGAATTACTCCTTTAATAATTGTATAAATTCCAAGTATATTTTTCGTATTTTGTAAAATCAGTACTTGTTTACTACAAATAAAAGCCACGGGAACTCTTATATATCAAAGTCTTTGTACCTAAAAATGCTCTTAAACAGAATATACCGAAGCTTTTTTTTTTTTGAAAAAATACAAAAAAATCTCTTTGAAACATGAAAATGACATTTTAATCCCTTAAAATGTCATAATTTTTCAAAATTTTTAGGAAACTTTTCTATCATTAAAGTTAATGTAAATTATCAAATTGCCCTTAATTCAATATTTCAAATGTGAAATTGCAAACAATTGTTGTATTCTTGTGATTTTAAGAAAAAAAGTTATGAATATTAAAATAAAAGTTGTGAATAGTAATTGATATCTGCAACACTTGAAAAATAATAGATTTCAAATGCAAACTTATGAATTATTATTAAATTATTGTGATTTTAAGAAAAAATGTAATGAATCTTAGAACAAGACTTATGAATGACAATTGATATTTGCAATACTTAAAGAATATCAGAATTTTAAATGCAAATTTACAAATTGCTGTTAAATTCTTACGATTTAAAAAAAATTGTAAAATTTGAAACAAAACTTGTAAATAACAGTTGATATTTGAACTAAAAATAACTTAATTATTTATATTAATTTTTAATAAAAAGTCTCTAAAAACTCCATTAGTATTATAGTATTTCGAGAGATTATATTATCATTTACATAATTTAAAATATTTTATTATTATTTTTCTTTTTTTTTTTGGTATAGTATGCCGGAGTGATTTTACCATGAAAACGTTTTTAAAAAGCTTTCATGTGTGTGTATGAAAGTACCTATATTCAAAGCTTTTTTGAAGCTCTCTGAAAGGTTAAAAACAAACATCCCATTGGCTTTTATATTTATAATAGCTGTTTTTAAGTAAATGTTTTATATAATCAATTTAGTTAACAATATATATATATATATATATATATATATATTACTATTCATAACCCATCAATTACCGATAGTATGGCTTACCTTAAATTTCATATAAGCTCGGGGTAACATACGTGACATATGTTCTTATGAGTGTAAGATTTTAATTAAAATCAATAAGTCTTAATAGATAATATTAATTTTATAGAATTATATATAATTTATAGTAAATTATATTACTCACGACTTATAAAAAATAGATTTAATTTTTTGTTTTGTACAATACACAAGACCAACTATTTAATTAAAATATAAAAGGAGCAGGTTTTCTTCCATGTTACACGCATTGTTTTTCGTAGATTAAAAGTTAGTCAGAAACTCATAATCAAAGAAGTTTTTTTTTTTTTGGGAAAAAATAATCGATAGGAATTTAACTTATTCTATGCTTTTGATTTTTGAATGGAATGGCAGGATTTTGGTAAGGTGGACGCATCTATATTTTAATCAAATATCTATGTAAAAGAACATGTACAGAAATTATTTATTACAAATAGATTGTCGTTGCTATTAATATCCTATTAATTTATAATACCACTCACGAACGTTTTTCTTGGCTCAAGAAGTAGGTTCTACCGGAGGTATTAAAAATATATAATACTTTCTCTATCTCAAGTTGTAAAGGTATTTTTTAAAAAAAAATTTAAAATATGAGACATTTTGGATAAATTAAGGTTTCATTAAATGTATTAATTTTAATATTAACCTTTTTTTTGTAATTAATTTTTGTCTCTTCTCTTTTTAATATATTAAATTATGGGTATTTTTAAAAATTTATATTTTTATTTTAAAAAGATAAGATTGTTAAGTGTATTTAATAAGATTTATTGGTATGTAAAATTTTATTTAAATATGTTTTATAATTTGAAATAGAAAGTAGATCTTTTCTAATTAAATTGTTATATATATAAAGGTTGGTATTTAAATTCTTAACAACTTGTTCAAGTGATGAAAGCATTTACTGTTTACACCTATTTTAGTTGGTTGATTAGCATTATTTTGCTCTTACATGTACTTTTCCATCCCTTCTAGATGATAACGAAACTTTTCTCTTTTGCTGTTTCCGTACAACATCTCTCTTATTTTATTAAGACATATTTTTAGACAAAATATAGTCAATATTTTAAATGATTGTAAACTACATGATTGCTTTACTCCATAATTTACATGTTTATTTCCTTCAAATTTATAGTTTGTGTATTAACATAATTTTAAATATATGTTAAGTTGTCTAAATGTGAGTGAACTTAAAATGATGTAAGAGGTTTCACGTCAAATAAAGTTAGGCTTAATAATTAATATATAATTATAAAAAAAAACTTATAAACTTAAGCTTTGAGATTTTAAATTGAGATGTGATATCCTTATAATATCTTGTGCAAAAATAGGCATCTGACACCAAGATCAAATGCTAAAATGAAGGTTTTGAGTAAGTAAATATACACAAGAAATGAACAAGCAGAAGTGATAAAAACTGAAAGAGAAAGTAGAAAGTCTGCTGTAAAGCAAGCAATTATAGATGAAGCTTTCCATATCTTCTTGGAATACGAAAGCACTGGGAGTGAACCAGTCTTGTATTCTAGTTGATCACAATCCGAAACCAATTGCACGATTGGTTGCTTTATTGATGACATCGATTGGTGAGAAATTTTTTCCTGCAAAACAAATCTTATCTCAAACAAATCATAAAGTATCCAATCCGTAGAAAGTTAAAATATCATGAACTTTCAGATTGGATTTATTTGACTGAACATGATCTAGCCAAAAAAAGCAACACAGCTCGAAGAGACCAACCAGAATGATTCCAAACCAAGGTGTGCAAAATGTCAGTGAAGAAAAAGGTGAGACAAGGTTTCAGAGAGGTAGAATGACAGAAAGGACATAGATCTACAAAGTTAGGATTGTGATTTAATTAACAAACTTGAAGTTTTCAACCTTTTCCAAGCTATTTTTCAAAGAAAAGCCTTTAATTGAGATTGTAAACAACTTTGCCAAATTGAATCCCATGGAAAGTTGATAGGCAAAGAAACTTGAGATGTCTGCAACAGGCAGTATAAATAACCTGATTTAACATAATACTTTGCCGTCTGACACTTTGACCAAATCAAAACATCATCTTGATGAAATGGAATCAGGGTAGAGAGATTAAAGTGGCATTCCAAGATAGAAACAGAATCACGCAGTATAAGGTGAGATAACCTTCCATGAGGAAGAAATATTACCTGACTGCTTAAAGAAATTGAATTCCCATTACCCACATTCCAATGTAAATTATCAATGATGATATATTAGCAGACTTAAGAATATCTCTCCAAAGACGAGAAGCAGAACATTTGGAAAGTAAAGACACATCATTACCAGCAGAAAGATAATTAGATATGAAAACCTGTTTGTAAAGAGATTGGTTTCCAATAAAAAGTCTCCAAATATTTTTAGCAAGCAAAGCCTGATTATCTGTTTGGAGCCAATTAATCACGAAAACATACCGGTGAATTACCATGGCCATCAATATAAGAACCAAGATAATTGCCTAAATGCGAACATGAGAGACTGACAAACCAAAATTGATTTATTAAAATTAATTAATTGACCAGAGATGGTGCTATAACAGTGAAGATCAAGAGCCTTAACAATTCTGCAATCTTGCTTAGTTGGTCGACAAAAAAGAAGAGTCTCATCTGCATAAATCAAATGAGTGTTAGGAATATTCCCAGTAGAAATTGCAATACCTTTCTGCCAAACAAAATTATCTGCTTGATGAATCATCAAAGAAAGGACGTTAGCACATAATACAAACAAATAAGAAGAAAGAGGATCTCATTGACCAAGTAAAAAAGGACGAGAAGGAGAACCATTAATAATAACCATTAATTATATTATTAAAATATTTGATATGAAAATTATAAAATTTTCGTATGTTCAATTATTTTACCCACATGTTTTTCTATCTTTAATTTATTTTTTTACTATAACAATCATGCTTTATTGTTTTTCCAGTTAATGCCATATTTTTTTTTATTTTCATTACTATCCTAAAAAGTGTGATATTATTAGCCATTTATTTATTGCAAGACTTACGAAGATTAAAAATAGAATCCAAATGGGAAAATTAAAATAAAAAAAGGTTAGACTCAAATTTTCTTCCCAACTTGTGGAATACTGTTAATGCTTAACATAACTAAAACAGGGTAAAGATTAATCCCCCCATAATCCAAAATGACTACATGCAAATAACATTATTATGACTTTAGTATATGTTTGATATACGGAAAAATATTATATAGAAAGAATAAGGAGAATGCATCTTAAAAAATGAGATCAGTGTATTTACCATCATTTCCTTTCTAAAAAAGCGTTTTTTTTTTTAACATACCAAACATTCCATTGAGTTTCCCATAGTTTTTGCATACATGTGTTAATTACTTTAGTATCTTGCTGGAGAAATTGAGAACAAAATATCTCTCTCTATATATATAGGAGGAGGGGAGAGAGTGGCGCGCTTGCATATATAAAATTTTATTCAAGCTCAAGATCTGCTGTTTCAAAACTCAAAAGCTTCATTTGTGTCACAAGAAAATCTTCAACGTAACAATGGTAATGTTTGAGAAGACTGAATTTTCTTTTGATTTTGCTTCATCAGCTTATAATTTCAATGGTAATGTTTTAAGGGAACAATTTTGTAATAGCTCTACATATACAGAAAACCTGAATCTGCTGCTGAATATTTCAATGGCCAAAAAGATTGTTGAAGAGAAAATTTAAAAAGAGAGAGATCCCATTACTGATTTCTTTCGAACATGATCTTTGTCTTGTCTTGTTTTGTTTTTTAAAATGTTTGATTATGAAAATGAAATACAGGATACAGATCATAGTGAAAGTGAAGAATATAGAGACTACAAAGGAAGGAAAGCAGATCCAAGAAAGCATGGTGGATTCAGAGCTGCTGCTCTTGCTTGTGGTAAATCACTCTCTCTCTCCCCCTCTCTATGCATGTATTAATGTATATATGTATGCATGCCTATGTCCATCTATCGATCTATGTATGTATACATTCGCAGGCTCTTTTTTTACCTTACAAACTTTATAGACGATTAGATGTAGATGTGGCTCATGCACTGCACAGAATTTGAGAAGTGATTAAACTTACATGTTCATGTCTGATGAATCCTATGACTTTTATATGTATATAACCAAGACGTCATCTCTTTTTAAACCTTGCAAACAAACCAAGATGAAGAAGCAAATAAAAATAAGGGAAATTGAGGAAATGAACCCAAAAAGGGTCCAGATTCTGCAATTTTTCTTTCAGAGTCTGCAATTTATCTTCCATGAATCTGCACATTTTCTTCCATAATCTACAAGTTAGGTCCTTTTTCTCTAATAATTTTCGGATTTGGTCATTTTCCACAATTTTCCCTAAAAATATCATCATGGAGAGCTCAAAAAATGGGCAGAGTTGTGACTAGTCTTGGCTACAGTAACGGCTTCATGATATATACATACAATAGGATGGTTAGTCAAATGACTAAACCCAAATTGGAACTAGGAGACCATAATGCACAACAATATCTACAAATAGCTCAAAGATCTAAAAATTTTGAAGTTATGCTTATAGATCCTCTCTTACCCTCTACCCTCTTTCTAGTTTAATTTTGTTGAACATGAAATTTCTTCTTATTAAGCCAATGTAACTGAGTTATTTTTTTGAGCAAAACAAAGTCTTTGGAAATGAATTTCATCAATTATAAGTCTCAAATAATGACTATAATTAACAAATAACTAGTTTGAGTCTATGCATTGCACGGAATCTAAAGAATGAGTCACATTATTTATAACTTATAAATAATGTAGCATGTTAGAAATTTTATTGATATTTTATATATGTATCATATAATAGGATGATTAGTCAAATAACTATACCCAAATTGAAACTACAAGACCTTGATGCACAAAAATCTCTATAAATTAGCCCAACGATCTAAAAGTTTTGAAGTTATTGTTGCAGGCCATTTCTTATCATGTACCCCTCTTCTAGTTTAATTCTATTGAACATGTTCTTACCAAATCAGTGTAATTAAGTCATGTTTGAACGCAGCAAAGTCTTTGCAAATGAATTTCATCAATTACAAGTCTCAAAAAATTGCTAGTTTGCTACTATTAGCAAATAACTAATTTGAGTTTATGCATCACAAGAAGTTAAGAAATGAGTTACACTATTTATAACTCATGAATAATATATCTTGTTAGAAATTTTATGTTATATGGAGATTGTAGTCCTGTCCTACGCATATAGAAGTCATTTAATGTTGTGAAATTTTTTGAGATTACAGTGGTGGAAGTGTTGGAGAACATGGTGTTCTTATCAAATGCTACCAACTTTGTTTCCTACTTTCTCAAGTCAATGCATTACTCAGCAGCCAAGTCTTCAAACATGGTCACTAACTTCATTGGAACCTCCTTTCTCCTTACCATTGTTGGAGGCTTCATCAGTGACTCCTTCTTCACAAGGTTCAAAACATTCATCATCGCCTGCGTCATAGAACTACTGGTAATATATAATGTTCTTCAATCCCCCAAAACATTCCTAATCCTAAACCAGGAAGAACTGATATGAGTACATTTATCGGATATGACATAAAACTGATAGACAATAATGCAGGGACTAATCTTGCTGACATACCAAGCTCAACACTCCAATTTGAAACCAGCAGAGAATAGAACGCCATCTGAGAGTGAAGCTGCTATACTCTACTGTGGACTCTATGCAATAGCCATTGGTGTTGGTGGAATCAAGTCTTCATTGCCTACACATGGTGCTGATCAGCTTGATCACAACAAGCAACACCACATTTCTTCATTCTTCAACTGGTACTTTTGTTCCCTATGCACAGGAGGCCTTACTGCAGCAACTGTGATGGTTTGGGTTGAAGAGAATCTAGGCTGGAACTTGAGTTTTGTGATTTCTGATGTAGTCTTGGGTTTGGCTCTTTGCATTTTCGTCCTTGGATTTCCCTTTTATCGCTATAAATCTCCTTCTGGAAGTCCTTTAAAGAGGATCTTTAAGGTATTATTCAGAGTTTTTTGCAACTTGGCTTTACTTCTTTAAGGCTTAAACATACACGTTTTACAGTCCTTCTAGTGTTGTATGTAGGTGTTTATGTATTGAAATTTCAGCTATATTCTGTTTCAAGGTTTTTGTTTCTTCAGCTCGTAACCGGAAAGCTTCAGCAGTGGGGACAGTGAATCACAGGGCAGTAGCAGAAGAAGATGCGACAGAACAATCACATGATAAATTCAAGTAAGATTTGTCGCTTTTCAAGTGTTTCAATAAGGCCATGGTGCAATAAGTCTTTTTTTTTTCCTTCAGTGTCAAATCATACAGTTACATTGATTTTTGAACTAATCCAAAATAGAGTCGTGTAGGACTAAAGATAACAAAATTCTCCTAGCAAGTTTTTGAAACAGTTGCATGCCATGGTCACAATCCTAAGACTTCGGATTAAGATAGTCCAGCTACTTACTACCAAGTATATGAATTTCTAGGTTCTAGCTATGAATGAAGCATGCATATCCCAAAATCACACCTGACAAGATAGAGTTTCTATCTGATTAAACAAAAAGAGGCAACATATATTTCTGCAGGTTCTTAAACAAAGCTTTGCTGTATGACACCGTAGATGACGCTGAGGTAGAAGAAACAAAAACCTTCCTTGGCCTCCTTCCAATTTTCTTAACCACAATAATGATGAACTGTTGCCTAGCTCAGCTTCAGACATTCACAGTTCAACAAGGAATCATCATGAGCAGAAAGCTCAACACCTTCACAATCCCCACCCAATCCCTCACAGTACTCCCACTCATCATCATGATCGCCTCCATACCAATCTTCGAAAACCTCAAGTACTTCTACGGACACAAACACTTCACTCAAAGCAGGATTCTGCAACCACTTGGAAGAATAGGCTAGGGCTAGCTCTTGCATCAGTGTCCATGGCAGTGGCTGCCATAGTTGAAGCTAAGAGAAGAGAAGAAGCAAAGAAGAATGAAGCTGTGATACTGTCAGTTTTCTGGCTGGGATGGCAATACTTGTTCTTGGCTATATCAGATGCACTTACTTTGAGTGGAATGCTTGAGTTTTTCTACTCTAAAGCTCCTGGAAGGATGAGAAGCATGTGTACTGCACTTTCATGGTGTTCAACCTCCATGGGATATTTTATCAGCTCAGTGCTTGTGAAGATAAGCAATGGAGTGAGTGGGAGATATGGCAGAGAGTGGCTTGGAGGACATGATCTGAATCATGCAAGATTGGATCTGTTTTATGCTCTTCTTTGTGTTCTGAACTTTCTTAATTTCTTGCTTTACTTGTACTGTGCTAGGAGGTACTAATTAGTTAGTTAGTTATATACCGGCTTGTTCATACGACGTTTTTGGTGGATAAGGTAATAGTTTTGTTTTTTTACCCCCCTCATGTTGAATAATCTATCCTATTTTATTTTTTGACATGTTGGAGATGATTTCATTTACCTCGTATTATATATATTCACATGCTTTATTGCAAAAAAATAGATAATCAATTCAGTTAAAAGGATGCTTTCAAATATATTTACAAATCACTTATTAATAAAGTTCTTATATTTATAATGAAATTTGAAACTCACAATTTCATAGATTAAGAACTCAATCTTTACCAATTGAATTAAAATTTTGAGCCAAAAAAATAAAAAAACATTAGACCAACATTAAGTAGTTATGTTCGCATATGAATGGTTCCTTTAAATTCAATGACCTCAAAGAAAAAGAACACAAGTTTTGCGTGGCTCACAAGTCATAAAGCCTTTTTGGCGGCGGTTTTAAAGAAAATTACAGCTAAATGACTGCGATTAGGTGAATTACACCGACCTCTCCGACTTAACGATTTTTTAGGCCACCCTCTGTTGATTAATCATGAAAACATTTATAAACATCACTTTGATGTTATATTCTACGTCTTCAATGTGTCAATATATACTCTCTGTTAAAAAAAATATATGATTTATTTTTTAAAATTAGATGTATGAAAATATAAAGCATTATAGTTTTTCAACATGTAAATAATAATTTTTTTAAAAAAATATTTTTAATAAATAAACCACTCAACTCTTCACTCCCAAATGAAACATCCTTTTAAATAAAAATAAATATGAAAATGATATTAATTTAAGAATAATTAATTAATTTATTGAGAAATGTAATTTAATTAAAAAATATTTTATATTTTTTAACAAAGGGAATATAAAAATTGAACGGTCTGTTTGAAATTTTTTTTTGTTTTATTCTTTAAAAATTGATGTGTTGTAGAACATGTTCTGAAAATAAAAAATAATAAAAATATGTATTTTTTTTCATTCTTTGCTATTCTCTAAAACAATAATCTCAAAATACTTAAAAAATTTACATTTTTTATTTTCAAAATAATATTTTATAATATGTTCTCCCTTCCCTTTTCACCCTCCATGTCTAAATAATTAACAAAATATATATATGATAAATAATCATTATTTTCATCTCCACCTCCACGTATACCTCATCATATCAATTAGTGCATAAGAGGCATACACTAATACATATAATTATGGCTTAAAATTTTAAACTTGTTTATTATTGCCAATAAAATTAAGACATGTGCATGGAACCATTTGAGATTCTAGCTAATTCAAGTGACAGGAAAGGGGTAAAAATTAAGACAGAAAAATTGTCCAAAAAAATTGATCATATGAAAAGCTCATTCACTTATTTATATTAGAGGCATAATTCGAGTGAGCCGGACTTCTTTAGGCTGGGCTCAATTTGAATCGGGCTTATCAGATCAGGCTTGAAGTATCTTACCACTTCTAAAAAGCTCAAATAGTCAAGCCCGGTCCTAACACTTTGAGCTTATTCGGACCAACCCGAATTCCCGAAACCTTTTTAAAAATATTTTTTCTTTATTTTTTAAACCAATTTTAATTTTTAAATAATTTTATTAAGCATAAAATATTATTTTAAATTTAAAAGAATAAAATAAAAAATAACTTATCAATTTTATACTTAAGTAGCTCTGTTATTATTTCATTGTATTATGTGTAATTTATTCATGAATGTTTTCTTTACTTGTAAATTAATATCTTAATTGTTTAAGTATTGCACTTATCATAGTTGTATATAAATTTTTTATATATTTCAATTAAATTATATTATTTTAATTATGATTAGTTGATTTTAACTCAATCAAGGTTAGACTGCTAATTTAAAATTATTATCCTGATTACTTTAAAAACTTTTAATAACTTTTGGGTAAATTTTACCTTTTATTTTTATGAATATAAGACAAAATAGCCATCATTATATTATATAAAGAAAAATTATTTAATTATGAGTAAAATATTATTTTTTAAAAATCATTTTTTTAAAATTTTTATATTATTTAACTCTTACATATAAGAGATTTTTACTCTAGTTTATTTTTAATTTTTAACTAAGTCTAACATGGACAATAACTAAGTAATTACTCAAGAATATTATTCTATTTATTATATTTATCAAGTAGTAAAGTTGAAAATTCGTACATACCCAAATTTTATTTTTAAAATTAATTTTAATTTTAATTTTATTTTAAAATTAATTCTCTTAATTTATAAAAAATATAAAATTAATTTTTATCCACAAATGATGTATAGGGCTTAAAACTTTATTTTTTAAAAAATTGGGTCTTAAAATATTAAAATATATTTTAAATATTATTTTTGAGATATGTTATTGATTAAACATAATAGAAAAAATTAATCTTGTAATCCTTCAAATTTTAACTCACTTGTAACTCAGTCCCTCAACTATGACTCGCTATAACTCAATTTTTTAACTATAACTCGCTGCGACTTAATCTTTCAACTTTTGATTCACCTATAATTTAGTCCTTATTTTTTATTTTTTTTTTAAAAAATTCTTATCAAACAAGAGGAATAAAAAATGCTCATATATTATTTTAAAATATCCTTCTTTTGCTCATTGATGTGAGATATAAGCTAACATGAAAAAAAAAAATAACAAAAGTTGAGGAACTGAGTCATAGGCGAGTCATAGTTGAAAGACTGAGTCACAACAAGTCATAGTTGAGGGACTGAGTTATAAGTGAATTAAAAGTTGAAAGATTAAAAGATCAATTTTTCCAAAATAATAAGAATATGAAGATATAACTATTTTAAATTTTTTTAAAATAACTATATTAATACACTCAAAATAATATTTTAGTATAAAATGATATAAAACTTAAAAAATTAATTAATATTTATCATATTTTATATATTTTTAAAAAATTATTTTTTTATTTCGGTATTCGGGCCAAGCCCAAACCCAATCGGGCTTGGCTTGAATTTTTTTGGGCTTATTCGGGCCTCCCAAATAGGCTCGAACAATAAGAAATATTATTTTTTTGAGTTTAGTCCTAAATTTTTCGAGTGAGTTTGGGCTGATCTGTTGGGTTTAGTCCAAATTACCAATTCTAATTTACATAACAATTAGTTTTTGAAAAACCTAATAATAAAGATACAAAATTGTAACCAATTAAACAAAGGCCTAATAGACATCTCACATGCATTCTAACTCATATACATGATTCAGCAGAATATATGCATTGTTTATGAACCTAAAAAAAAAAAAGGTATCATTTTCCCTTATCACTATACAAACATATCAATTTAAATCTAGACATGAGAGTTCTTGTATCCAAAAATATATTAACCAACAGTTTTCGCAATCCTAAAAATAAATATAAATAACACAAATTAACGGAAAGTTTGTAAAATTTTAATACATGAATGCATATTTGCAATGTATATAATTAAACCAAGTCAAAACCTAATAAACGGTCTAAATTCATTGGTCAAAGAAAGTGAAATAAACAGAACCTACCATCAAAATATTTTCAAACCTTTTTTCAACTTTTTTATTTCCAGGACAGTATCAAAAGCATATAAAAGGTCCATGAAAATGGGACAAGACAAACACAATAATTTTGAATTATTGATCACATGCACCCAATCACCCAACCAACAAACAAACGAGAATCATGGAAGATATGCCAAGAAGCAAAAAAGCTCAGTAAAAACTTCCATGGAACTATTAGCACTAACATATTCAATCATATTAGAGCTAATTATAGTGCTTAAGAGATAATAAGTTATGATATGACATGATGATGATGATACATGATACCTCATTTTCTCTAGATCATCATGATGTTTAATACCATATAGCTATTGTAATATTTGTAAGTTGATCATTAATAAAAATAATAATTAAAGCTAAGCCGAAAACAGACAATACAGATGGTGCTGGTTTCCAAGTAATGATTGATCGACAATATGTATGAAGATGTACGTACATAGTTTGTAGGTTAAAAGATGTAAATTAAAAGCCTAGCTCTTATGATCCGTGCACGAAACTATGATATAATTGATGATGAATTATGATAAAACCTTTTTCCCTGCCCCATCAGTGGGGTAACACAATTAAACATTTCATTGTATTCTATGTTTTGTCATTAATTATTGTTGTTGTGCTTTAGTTTGCCTGCATGCGTGCTGATGATATCTGAGATTCTTTTTATTTGAAAAAGTATCATGTATGACATTTTTATTTCAAAAAAAATTAAAAAACAGATACTCTTTCCGTTAAAACATATAAGAAATTTTTTAAGGAGTTGGATGTTAAAAAATATAAGACAGTTTTAGTCTTTTAAAGTGTAACTATTTGTTTTTTAAAAAAAAGTGTCATAATAAATTTATATTTATTGTAAGATGTTTAATAAGAATAAATATAAAGAGATAGAATTAATTTAAAAGTAAATAATTACTTTATTAAAAGGTAAAATTTGATTAAAAATATTTTTTATTTTTAAAATAAGGAGTATATATTAACCCGCTTCCCATATTATTAGAACTGTATAAAAAGCTTTGCCCCACGGTTAAAATGATGATGATACCCAAAAACAGTTAAAGAAGGGCATAGAAAAAGATGACTTGTGAACTTGCGCATCCGGGGAATCGAACCCCGGTCAGTACCGTGGGAGGGTACTATGATACCACTACACCAGATGCGCTGGTGGTGTGATTGCTCAATGTTGATTTATTCAATTTAATATTGAAAGTCTATTTTTCCCAGCCCCACAGCAACGCACATCACGCATAAACCAACACATTTAATCAACTTTTTTATATGACTATTTAGCAGTGTCAAATTCAAATATTATTAAGATTAAGAAAAATAAAATTTTTAATTCTTACACTTTGCTCATATTTTATTATAAATTTTTATATTTTTTTAAAATATTTTGGATCCTTATATTTTTATTTTTTAATGTTCTAAATCCT